TTATGGGCCAAATGGAAGGCATTGAAGGGTCTTGGAATCAAAGCTCTGTCGGCAAGGGGATTCAAACAATTTCGAGATGCCTCCAACATTCGTAACGAAAAAGGAGCGAAACGTCCACTTCTAATCACGTGGCGCCCATTTGCGTTTGTGGGTGTTAATCGTGTACCTACACCCGAAAGCGATCACTAACGACCACCCGCAGACTTTCATCATAGCTAACACAGCTCTTCTGCAATGTCAGATTCGACAAGCTGGAGGGCCAGGACGCGGTAAACGTTTGTACTGTGACCGGACACGAACGCTGGTGAAAGCTAGGGACTTGAACGGCTGTCTACTCAAGCCAGCAGTCCAGTTACCATGCGAGAGTCTGCAACCACCTGACGCCAACATAAGCGGCTGCACTTCTCCGACTTCATCACGCCGCGACGTGCCGTTACACGCCGCTGGCGACCAGAGGCCGTCAAGAACGTCATTTCGCTGAAATGTGACAGACACCCGTATTTTCTTGAGGGGGGGGGGGGGGGTCGGGACTGTTACTTCGTCCCGCTAAGGGAAGGTGCTGCCGTAAAGGAAATGCCACCTGCACAAGCGGACGGATTCAATCGCCAGCTTGGTGGCCGTCTGACCGTGCATTCCTGATGAGCTGACAGCGGGACGATTCCCTCCCCCTCCCGTCCGGACCGCCGTTGGATCGCGACGCCGAGCGATTTTGCGGCTGGTGCCCTGCAACCCTGCCGGGAACTATCCCAAACCATGCGGGACGCGTCGTCCTCGCGGGCTGCTGGTCACGACCGCATATGATGCATAATCTATAATAATATATATTCGTCAAGGCTTCGTGATGCTAGCACCCCACGTGCTGCACTGGTTCAAATGGCCAAAATGTCGTGCGCCTTTCCGTACTTTTGAAAAAAATTGCATTAGTCGTGCATCTGCACAACTCTGCCCGTTGCGAGGAAGTTGGTTAGCTCCATCTTCCACCTTTGTATTTCCAGCATTGGTGAAAAGGTCGTGTACGGGTCGTACAGATCGGTTGGTATCGTTATCGGTATCGGTATATCGGTCGTAAGTTGTTGCAGTGATGGGCAACTCACCGCGTCAGTGGTGGACAAGCTGCCGCCGTCACTTCAGTTGATTTTGATCGTGTGTTTGATAGCGTCGACCGTTGTGCCTCCAGACGAAGTCCCAGTGGTATTGGGCTTGCGGTACCCAGGGCGGTACCGCAGCTACCTCTGTGACCGGCGGCAGTTGGTGAGAGGCCGTTCCGTGTCCCGTCCCCTCTCTCACCGTGTTCTTCAGGGCTTCTTAGTCGGCTCCATTCTATTTAACGCCTTCACAAACGACCTGTCATCCCACCTACCTCGCAAATGTCTAGTATCAGATGTCAGTGTACCCAGTTGCAAGATTCGGCACATCATGGACACCGAGCTATCCCGGCAGTCCCGGTAGAAGGCGACTTTTCTCGCTTTCAAATCAGAGTTGAATCCAACTCCTTTAAAATCAAAGCTTCCAAAACTACCCCAATGCTAGTCGACACAGACCAACACTTCAAGACGTCCACATCCTTCCACTTCAGTATTGACAGCCACACGCTAACGCCTGATCACATATCACACATCGTGGAAGTGCTGCGTTTGCGGCGTGTGTGTGTGTGTGTGTGTGTGTGTGTGTGTGTGTGTGTGTGTGTGTGTGTGTGTGTGTGTGTGTGTGTGTGTGTGTGTGTGTGTGTGTGTGTGTGTGTGCGTGTGTGTGTGTGTTTGTATGCTAAGTTTAAGCATTTACTGCACGCGCAGCATGTTATGCCTTCTGTTCACTGCGTAAGGGTCAAATTCCAAAAATAGACAGGAGGTCTTCAGACATGCATTTGTGGTCCCTACCTGTCGCATCTGCTTCGCTGCTGTAGCTGAATTTTGGGATCCATAGCACACAAGACTCCTGACACCTTATGCTACATCAGGCAGCACAAGGAGAAGACAAGTGGGTGAAATGGACGCAACCAAAACCTTTGAACGAGCAAAGATAAAGCAAAATTTTAGTGACGAAAAAGCACAGGAAGTCTCCAGTTTTGTTTTAGCTGTTTTTCAACGTAAGGTAAACAACTTTTCCCTCCAACAATTGATTTACCAAAGTTGCAGCCTTTGCTCAAACGATAAGGTAGCAGCAAAGCCTTCAACACCTACAGAAGCAATCAAATGCACGAGGAACGTCCAATTTACCGCCCAAACACCTCTACGTCATTTGTAAACCAAATAACCGTTTATTCAGTGAAAACGGCCCGAGCAACGGCCACGTAACTGTTTTGATAACAAACCTTAATCACAGGGAAATGACCGACCCGTGCGCAGCCCGTCACAGCCACGACATGTCATTACCTCCATGAATTACTTGGTGTTGATGGGATAGTCAGATTTACTGCCCAAATTTAGGCAAGTGGTTAGGTGGTAGCCATACAGGTATAGTTAAATTCTGATCTGACATATTTCCCCGGTGTGAAGCCATGTATGTCATGCCTACTGGCATCTGTTGATAGAAAGGTCATGAAAAGTTGCAACATCAGACCATATGGAAGTGCCATCGGTCTTTCTACCCCGAAAGGCGCTGTTTTTAAAAGGCTGAAAGGCGCTGTATTTAAATAGGCTTCAATGTGGTGTACACCTTCACGTTTCAACAAGCTGGCTCAGCGGAAGCGACGACAGGTCATGAAACTAAAATCAGTTTGCTTTAATCAGGTACGAGGCACAGTGCTCGTACCTGATTAAAGCAATAAGGTAGAATGTTTTCGGTAAATCAGTGTTATTCAGGCTATAAGCCGTGCCATGACAGCTCGAGTTACGTTTCAATGGCGGATATGAGCGTCATTATGGCCTAGTGGAAGATAACATTTCGCTCCGGTTGCTGAGCCTTTGTCGCTTCCCGGGCAGTGTTCCTGACATTCACAAAAAACAACAGCAAAAACACCACATGGCCATCGTCACCAGCAAAAACATCGGAACAGTGCCTGTGCGCAGTCTCCTACCACCGCTCCTGCTCGGCGATGCCCCTGGCGGCGGTCGGTCCCGGGAGGTGGCGACCGCGTGACCCCGTGACCCCGTCTAGCGAGCCATTGGCGTCCGGCGGCCGCGGCAGATGCCGACCGATCTCTAGACGGCGGGTGCGGTGTCCGCACGCAAGGCAGCCGGGGGCTACGCCCAGCGTAAACAGCGACTGCGGCGTTTGCTCAGGGTATTGGACAGGGAATGGCACTCATGGGATGGAAGGGAAATATACTGAGCTCGCTGTGCAATGTCTTTCCATTGATATATTAGATTTGATGGCGAGGATGGGTGGAGCTGTTCGTTAGTCGCGTGGTCCGAGTGTCGTTTTGCCCCGCAGTGTATGGCAGGCAATGGGGCGACGCCGTAGGCACAGCGGCACGTGGGCATGAATCTCACCGATGGCCATTGCGCTTCCAAGAACCAAGACCTTGGTCCGGTTCCTCACTAACTGACTACTCAAGTCCGGCCCATTGAGTAGGCGTCACAGATAAACACCCAACGAAGAACACATTGAATGCCACATATGGGTACAGGTGTAATCAGCTGATTAAACCCATTGGAGACCTGAAATGCGCAGAAATGACGCACTTGAGCATTATTTGAATGCACCATTATTAGGACCTTATGTGACTAAAGACACCATAGTGGATCACAATGTCCACATGAGATCGAAACCTGCCTATTTGCCGGACAGACAGGACCGTCAACAGCACATCGACCATTGCTGGGCGTTGCTATGTCAACAGCGACGACTTACTGGTAAACAACCGCACTTGCTTCGCTCTCAGCCGTGTAGGGAATTGGCTTGGGCCGTGACGTCATAGGCAAGGAATGGGCTTATCACAAAGTAGGGAATGGGCTTCCATTTGCTGGCGAAGACGGACCTCAGACCGCTGTACCGCGTGTGGACGTGATGCCCGGCTCCGTCACGCTGTCTGTCTGCTTCCGCCGCCGGTCGCGGCCCGGCAAGGCCTGCCAGCGGTGATTGGCTCGCGTTGATTCCCGCTTTTACGTGGAAAGAAACCGTATTGGGGCCGCGCCCACGCCAGCGTGTTTTCGCCGCTGATAGCGTGCGCGTCCAACGAGTGGTTGTTTATGCGGTCGAGGAATTTATGTTCCTTGTAAGGAAGTCAGGAACTGTTGAACATCGATTCTATATCGATTTAGCGTTACTTTCTCCCCGCTTGGTATTCCCTACCGGACCAAATAACCCGCTCAATGGACCCCCGGGCAACGATTACGAACCACCACCACGCGATGACGGTGGCACAATCTCATAAAGTTATCATTTGGAGTGAATCATCGCAGTCCAGAGTGCAAAGTTCCGAGTTTCAGGCTCGACAGCGCGGCAAAACGAGCACGATCGGGTTTGATCTGCCGCCAGACCGGAATTTCCGCACTCAAAGCTCATGTGACCTTGTCGTTTTTATACATAGCTTTTCGCAAAAATGCTAAGGCCTCTGAAAGTCAGCCATCACACAAGGTTGTGAGGAAATGCGCTGTGAACTTTGGGAGAGCAGTCGTCTCCTTATGTTCGTTTGAAACGCAGAAAACTGTGTCGGCGTGTGCCGGTGGTTGGCGATAATGGTCAGCATTGTATTCTGGAAAGAACACAGCCTCGCTCTGGATTACATCTGCATTAGTCTAGACAGAAACAAGGTGCTCTCTGTTCGTGGGATAGCGGCATGCTCGCAGTGAAACACTCCCTTGGAGCGCTTTGGCAAGCTCGTCGTTTGGCGACTACGCTGGCGCGCCATGATTGGTTGATGGGGTGCGTTTGTTACACTGCTGGGCCCTCACTCACTCGCCCGTTTGCGCCAAGCTTCGGCCAGCTGCCCCGTTAGTTTCTGGCCAAGGCGGAAGAGCCGGTCAGCTAAGAACACCGCTTCGTCTCCGCAGGCCTCGGAGACTGCAGTCATGGTGATGAACGACTCCTTGGTATGCGCCAACGGCACCAGCAAACAGCACCTGCTGTAACGCCAGCCAGACCCTGGGCAACCTCACCGGCTGCCAGGAGGAGGGCGAGCTGGGATTCAATCAGTTCATCATGCCCTGGTGGCGCCAGGTGGTGTGGACACTCATCTACATCGCGCTCGTCGTGGTGGCCACGGGCGGCAACCTCATCGTCATCTGGATCGTGCTCGCCCACAAGCAGGTGAGTGGCGAGTAGACCTTCGCCTGAAGGAAAGGCTGCTTACTCACAAGAGGTGAGTGGCGAGTGAGCCTACGCCTAACGAAGGGCTGCTTATTCACAAGCGGGTGAGTTGCGGGAGGACCTCGGCGTAAAGAAGGGTTTGCCCCTCCCACAAGCAGGAGAGAGACGGGCGGCCTCCGGCCTGAAAGAAGGGTTGCCTCTCCCACAAGCAGGTGAGTGGCCGACAGACCTCGGCCTGAAGGAGCGGTGTCGTCCTGTCGTTTCAGACTCAGACCTCGTGCATTGTGCTGTCGCTTGTGTATAATTAAGAGCATTCGTAGACAGCTGGTGGCAGTGACCAGGCCTCTGTGGACAGAGCGCAGCGCGGTCGCGCCGGTGTCATGTGTCGAGTGGTGTTGTATGGCTCAGCGGGTGCGCCGGCGCATAAGCAAATGACCATAGCAGTCACGGTTCTTTGAAACCGAGCCCGACGCTGTAACGCCATATGACGCTATTGTAGCGTGCGTGTGTGCCAAAATTAGTGCGGGCCAGCGGTCGGTGGTCTGTGCTGGATTTTGTTTGTTTATGCGAAAAGCTGATGCGGCGTGCTTGGCCTCATCGAACTTGCTAAGCGGAGCTTGTTGCGAGCGCCACGAACCCATTACCCACGCTGTGTCGTCTTTGCTCTTCACCCAGAGAGGACCGCAGAGCAATGGCGCAACAAGGTGGTCGCAAGGGACCAGGGGGGCAGCCAGAGCCTTGGGAAGGGAGGGAACGAGGCTCACAAAGGACTCCCTGATAGTGAAATACCCTTCCCAAAAAGCCCCTGGTTTCGCCTATTTGCAAATAAGAGCCTCTGGGACCCTTCATCCCTCTTTGGACCTCCTCAAACAAAGCTCGTGAGCGACTCGGGGCCATAAGCCAACACATGACCCCCTGTTAGGCACTACGGACTCCTGACCGGCGCAGGGATTCTGGCCATTGTTTCAGGGACCCAGACCAATGCAAGTCGCGGCCCCCAGCCTTTCTCCTGCTTGGGAAATGGGCCCCGAGGTTTTAGACTGACGGGGAGCCAACTGTTAGGTGTTGCTTGTCTCAGGCCGCCTTAAACACTCATTATGTCTCAAGGAGTCGTCAAACGGCAAAAGAGGCCCTCTGACTGATATTTTGGGTCACGACTTTGCGGACCACGATTCTTCATGTGAACTGCAGCCAGTCCTTCGGGCCTTTATGTCCTCCAGCCGGCCCCACGATCGTCGGTTCCGGTGGACTGCCCATGCCCCTCTTAAGGCCTCATTGAATACTGCTCCATCAAACCTTGGTCGGCTCAGGGCCCCTTGTGAACACAGGACCTCCTGTTAGGCGCTGTGAACCTCTCACAGATACAGAAACCCCGGTCAGCGTAAATTACAGATACAGAAACCCCGGCCAGGCTCCGTCTTTGTAGCTGTCTGGAAAGTGGGCACTCAGGACTATGCTGACACGGAGCTGACTGTGCCGTACTGGTGCTGCCGGACCGACATAAAGCCCCTTTTTGATTCAAGTGGTCCCCAATCAGTGCAAATGCCCCCCCCCCCACACACCTTGCCTGTGCCACTGCAAGGGCCGCGTTTTGGGACCTTATAGAATCTCGAGCTTTGCAACACAAACGGTTTTTTTTCCTTCCGGCCTTCAGCGTTATGTTATTAATCGCCATGTTCCGCTTTTCTATTTTTCAGAAATATGCTGCTTTGGTATATAGTTTTGCCAGTTTCTAAATACATTTACGTCATTTCGCACAACGAAAGAGGGAAGTAGAACTGTCAAAATGTCCAAGATCGCAGCGTCCAGTGCTCATAGCATCCAAAACTGCAACACATGCGTCCAATCTGTGCCCATTGGCGGACTTCATAGCATCCAGGCTTGCAACGTCCAAAGTCATGTCATCAAATGTGCATAGCATCCGGCGATTGCGGCGTCCAGGTGATTAGGTTTCATTGGCACCGCTCTACTCGTTGTTTTTATCCGTCGTGAATGCTGGGTGCTATGAACTTTGGATGTTACTACTTTGAATACTGCGAGCCCTCACTGTATGACTGCCCCCTGTCCAGGGACATTGGAGGATTTTTGGATATTATGGACGTTGGATGCAGCAGTTTCGACGCTTTAACCATTGAGCGTTATGAACTCCACATGTTTCAATACGCATGCAGCGGTTCCACCCATCCAGGTCATGCAACTTACTATTTTGCACGATTCCTTGTCTATACATCTCAACAAATTTTGTAGCACCTGAGACATCTGATGGTAAAAATTTAATAGTGCCATAAAGTTTCAAAACCGAGGCTCCGAAGGTGGAAAGTAAGCTTTTGTATTCAAGGAAAGTTGTGCTAAGTTGATATTGTAAAACAGCAAAGTTTAAATGACATGAAACCCGATTTTGTTGCGGCAGGGCCCCTCAGCAATAATATGGCTGCAGCTGTAGCTGGCGACCCATAAAAGCGTGCGTGTCAAAATGACAAAGTGCTTCACGTTTACTCCATTTCTTGCTTGCCTGCCGCGGGCTCTAAGTCTATTATTCACTTTGTTTTTCAAGCTTTGACGGCAGGCATTTGAAATACATGTTGATTCGTCTTACGTATGAACTTCGATTGATCATGAATGGAACGTCTCAAATTTGAATGAATGCGCATGTCGCTGTATGAATGCGCGTATCGCTCCAAATTCCACTCGCCTGGCCGACAAAACATTGTATTTTTACGTGGGTGTTTTTAGTCACATCGGACGCACATAATAGTTCAAGGCTACAAGTTTCCCCAAGCCCTCAATCATTTACCTGTGTCAACCTTTTGCTGAATCCGTCGCATTCTTTTCTTGTCCTTTTCTTGTTAATGAACACTCCCTCTACCTGATCCTTTTAGAAAACAAGTTGCGCGTGTGCATAGAGTATTACCCTAAACACCATTTACACGCACTTGCATCTCATCAGCCTCTATTTAGACTTTCGCACTAGCGACATATGTGTAGATTACGAGCCCGTCGATGCGTTCTTGCATTTCGTTACAAGTCCACATTTTCTTGTTTGGTATTCGACATATCATGTGCTTAATTTATAGCACCTCAGGAAAAAATCACGAACCCAGAATCACATTGCTTGAAGCTTACCGATTAGAAATGCCCTTCACCACCCTCGGACCCAAACGAGGAGCCCTTTGGCCCCGCAGTCCGGCAACGTCAGTCGTAACTTGCGGGGCGTGGACTTAGCCCGAAGGATGCGCAAAGGTCAGCTGGCAATCAGCCTGAGAGGATCAAGCTGCAGGCATGTGGCATCGTGGCAACACTGTAAGGCATCGAAACTGCATCTCGGCTCAGTCGTTTCGCGTTGAAAGTGCCGATCGCGAGATCGAGTGTTGAACTTTAACTGCACAGGTTTGTGGGGAAGGGGCTCAGGTGCAGACAGAGCACGCTCTTCACCGATCATATTTTCTATATTATGAGCTGGATAAATTCCGAACAGGCCGAAGGACCCCCAAGAATCAACTGCGTTGAACTCCGGACTTTCTTTACGAGTTGCAATTGGCTCTTCGTTTGGAAACGCCAGTGTAGAACGCTCGCAAAGCCTGGGGCGGCAAGGGCGTGCTTGACATAAGAGCAGGCTCGAACTTATCATCCACTCTTCGCCTCCTTTCATGTCAGCCCCTGTTGTTTGTCCGTCCCGGTGGCTCAGTTGGTTAGAGCGCCTGCCTTCCGATCCACCCACCCGTGGCGGGGTGGGTTCGAGTCGCTTTAGGGCGCTCGCTATTTGCCCTTGACAGGTATGGCCTGCGGCCGGTGGCAGCGGTCGCGTTAAAGGTCAGTTGACGTCAGAGGGCAGGACGGACCGTGCCGAGCATTGCGGCACGTTAAGCTTTCGCCACCAAATTCTGCCGTTGACATGGGATTGCGCGATCGGATGGTAGGGGTCAGGGCTCACACAACAAGCACTGCTCAGCGTGAGCTCTGATCCCGGAAATCCATCCATTCAAAAGGTTCGGATCAAATCTTTAAAAAAAGTTGTACACTATCGAAACGAGAATCCTCGACTGGACGAACTCTCCTAGTGGAGTGAGGTGTCTGGCAAACTGCATAGTTGTGATTGGCGGAGTCCAGGTTTAAATGTTGGAGTCTGCTCGCCTTCATTCCAAGAATGATTGGAGGCCAACCTCAGCATTTCGATATTATATCTGCCAAAGTCGGCAGCATGGCAGCTAGATTTCAGTCCTCCTGTGGCTTTTTGTGGACCCTATAATATGCTGCAAAATGTACGCTCCTTATTTTACATCTTGCGTTTCTTCTCTGCTTTATCTCATCCCGCGAGTGTATTGAAGGCACCTCAATTATTTAATGCCCAATGAAAGTTTTCGATGCTGAGCTTCTCACACGCATAGGTTAAGACTCGTTCTCACATGACAGCTAACCACATTCCAACGCACATGCATTGCATATCAGAGGATACTCTGCCGCACCTGATCGCATACGTGTACAATGCAAAAGTGAGCCCTCGGCACAGGGCCTTCGCGGCAGCAGAGGGCACATCGGAACTGACCCACTGCTCTCCAAGCCACCCAAATCCAATCATAGCCGCCGCCCTGTGCGCCGGCTTCTCCCACTACTGATGCTGCCGTTTCCCACGGAGGCCTCGGGACTCGACGCATATAGGAGGTCTAAGCCAGTGAAGCAAAACAAGCTGCGGAAAGTGAGAGCCTTCGATTGGAAAATAACGACGGCTGGATAGGCTCCTAGCCGGTCTGGAAAGGCGGAACGCCTCCATTCCCATGTGTTTGTGCGGAAAGGACCAGCTTTGCTACGGGTAGCGAAGCCGTGGACAATGGTCCTGGTATTTGTGCGGGAGAAATGGCTCGGATGCGTGATTCATGCTTGCTGCCGGGAATCTGCAGCAAGATCACCCGATCTTTAAGCACGTTGGTTGTTCAAAACAATCTTTCGCGCCATCTTAACGAATATTTGCGCATCGTACACAAGGCAATGGATCGTACATCTCA